AAAGATAAAATGCTTGGACCATTACATTATCTTTGCCGGTAAGTTTTTAATAACATAATAAACTCAATTTTATAAAAGTAATAATTTAAAAACTTTAGATTTCAACTAGAAAATGGTGCTGTAACTCATCAAAGTAAAGAATTTTTAATTAAACAAAAAGCTTATCCAAAACTTATAGGACGGAGATTAGCTAAGCAATTACGTATGCTGCCAGAGGAATCTACATGACATTTTTTATTTAATAGTTCTTAGAAAGTTGATATTTTATAAGAAATATGTAATTTTTATAGCCATATTTTTGAAAAATACAAAGATACAAATAAGATAAACGAATAACATTTTTAATTTAAAAGTATATTTTTATAAATATTGCAGCATGTTATTTCATATTTTTTGACAATATACGAAAATCAAATTTCATATTTCCATATTGTGGTGCAAAACTAAATGACCATAAAACAGTACTTTGTTGTGTAACATGTGTTATATCTTTAAATAAATGTACGCCTTGTCTTGTAAATGGATCCCATGATATCCGAGTTCCAGATTGTATTTCTACGGTAGGTCCCGACGATATTGTGATTTCGGAATTCAAATGCCAATCAATCCATAGAGCTACACCATTACACATTCCATTCCTAAATTTAAATAAAAAATATATAAAATATAAATATTATAATTTATAACAATTATTAATATAAAATATCATAAGAGCTTACGTTAAAATAGGCACAGTTTCTGAAATATTTACATCTTCAATTTCATTTACATTTTGTGTTAAATCAAATTTTTTAATAACGAAAGGTAAACTTAATGCTTTAGTAGGATATTCCCACAATGGTTGAACTTCTACAGGACTATCACTTTTATCACTTGATGCCTATAATACATCATAAAAATTAATTTTTCTATTACATCTTCAATTTGTATTCACTTACTTGTATAAGTTTGTCAAAAATAGATAGATCAAAACCCTCACAGACTCCAAGAGGTGCTCGTATTTTATGCAAATCATTAAACTCAACTATAACTCCCATTATTGTTGCTGCAATTGGAATCCTTTGTATTTGAGAAGAATATCTTGAAATTAAATACCAGAAGTAAAGATTTTCCCATGGTACAATTGAAGTAATAAAATATGGTTCACCAAAAATTAAATTAATTTCATTTTCGGGAGGTAAATTATCTACTGATTCAATAATTTCTACTTTTTCCGAAAGTTCGTTTTTTTTAACAAACATTTCAATACATTTTTTGGATAAAAAGTTTGTCTCCAAAACGAATATCTTTTTCGCACCTAATTTAATAGCTGCAAGACCCAATAAACAGCCGTCCGAAAGACATAAACATATTGTATCTGGTGTAATTTTTTCTTCTAAAACTTTGATATATTTTTCATTTCGTGTATAATCATTTAATTGTCCTATTCGAGTTCTACAATAAGCCACATGTACATTACAATTGCAGACAGGTCTTTCACAATCTGGTGCTTCATTTCTGTAAGCAAAATGATATATACAAATCTACAAATTATAAAATAATGTAATGAGATATTTACATTGGCTTACATTGATTCATTTATTAATTGGAACCATAATGAATATTCATCGTGATATCCAATTAAACTAACTTCATTGTTAACAGTAACTGGAGTTTCAACAGGTAAATAATAAATAGCTTGCATCCAATGATCTCTCCATGGTATTAAATCTGCTATTGTTTTCAAACTAAAACCTTTATTTTGTAAGATTTTTGTATCTGGATGTTCCCACACTGGTGCACAACTTAATAAAACCTAGATAAAGAACTATTTAATAATAAATTTAAAATCTTTTAATAAATAATAATTACCTGATTATTTACATCCATAATTAAATCCCACCACATAAAAATAGCATGTGCAGTACCATTTATAATTGGTTTTACATGCAAACATCTTTTTTCATCATATAATAAAGTTGATTTACCAGATAAATCAAACCTAGAATTTTTATTTTATATTTCACTATCAATGAAATTCTTTTAATATTGAATAATTTATATACATATATTTACTTAAATAATAATAATATATATATATATTTACTTAAATATAGGTTGAGGAGGTAATAAAGGCTTAAATGCATCATCAGGAAATTGTGTTAATTGTATATCATGTACTGCAGCTGCTCCAGAACAAGATTTTACAGAATGTGGAGTGTTTAATAAATACTTATTTTTAACTTTAATAGGACATATTGTATTCCATGCACATACAGCAGAACTTTCTACTACTTGTACCCAAATAGTAGCACTATGTGGAATTACAATACTATTTTCCTAACATAAAATAAGTAAATTAAATATATTAAATTATATAAATTATATAAAAGTGTATGATTTGTACTTCAAGAAGATTTTCATGAGCATGACGAAATGTAGAAAGTGCTCCTTCTCCAATAAGTTCAGTATCAAATACTTCAGTAACCAAAATGTTTGCTTTTTTAACCATATCACCATTTTTTCCAATAGTCATTTTTGTAGAACGTTTATGTATTAATTTAATTTTGTCTTCAAAACCATTTTCTTGAATTATTTTTATAGCACATTTAGCCATTGGTGTAAAAGCCTAAAAAAATATAATTTTGTAATATACAAATAATATCATAATATTAATAATTTATAAACTTATTGTGTCTGGTGAAGTTTACTTCACAAGCTGTAATACTATCTGCACCACATTTAGCAGCCATCATTGATAATAAACCAGTTCCAGTTCCTATATCAAGTACATTAGCTTCTTCTCCATTTTGGTGCTTTTTTTCAATTGCAGCTTTAATACCTAGGTAATATTTTTGATTCTATAATTATAAAAAAATTTTTAAACATAATAAATAGAAAATCATTTCAGAACATTTTAACAGAAAGTACTAACTCTTTCATGATCATGCAACATATCAGCAAATGCTGATCGAGCAATTTCTTGATGATAATCATAATTTTCATCTTTTTCTTCCCAATTAATTGTTCCCGTTAAAGGATTTAAACACTGAATAAAGATACTCATATTTCGTATCCGAATTAATTGAGAAAAACAAATTTTGAGCATAACCTTCTTACGACATAAACTTTTTAAATCACATAAATGCAAATTTTATTATTCAATTATTAAATATATTTATTTATAAAGATAACAAGAAATAAAAAAAAAATGAAGACAACAATAAAAAAATAACATGAAGTCAATATCAAATATTTATTTAGACCAATTTTTATTTATCAACAATAAATTCAGTATCACAAGTTTGAAATCCGAGATTAGAATTAACATATAATGTATTGAAAAATTGAAGAAAATCGCGTTATAATTGATATGTGAGTTACAGATAATAAAATAAATTAAATAACATAAAATTAATAATTATATAAAAATAATTTCAATATTATGACAAATACAAACTACACACGTGCAAATATATATAACCATAGATAAAATATAGAATAGACCCAACTACCTAACATCCAATGTATTTTCATGTCCCATCTCCATGTCGAGTAGCTTCAGAGCCCCCTTACGATTTAATTAAGTATAGACAAAGAGAGCAAACAATAAGAGAAGGATAGAGATAGGATAAAAATATGGAAATCAGCGCCATCTTCAGAGTGCCGTATATGAAACTCAATGCACAAGGACAGAAAATAATAAGAAAAGGATAAAGATAAATAAGAACTGATTATTAGCGCCATCTCTTGAATATCAAAGACATTTTTTTAAAAATAGAGCCGATAAAATAGATTCAGAATTAAATATCAACGCCATCTCTTAAGTAAGAAACTTGAGAGATGGCGCTAATATTCAATTTTGATTCTACCTTATCTTGTTTTTAATAAATGTCTTTGATATTCAAGAGATGGCGCTAATAATCAGTTCTTATCTATCTTTATCCTTTTCTTATTATTTTCTGTCCTTGTGCATTGAGTTTCATTTACGGCACTCTGAAGATGGCGCTGATTTCCATATTTTTACCCTATCTCTGTCCTCTTCCTTATATTTACTCTCTTTGTTTATACTTTCTTTTGGCGGGTAACTACAAATGAAATATAAAGTGTCAATTAAATACATTTTCATTATTTTTCTTTCAAAAATACAATGTATTTGTATCTTTAATATAAAAAATATAGATAATAAATTCCAGATTTTATAATTTATCTCCTAAAATATAATATACGAATTTTTAAATAAGATGTAATAGAATTTACAAACGAAAGTTTAATCCAGGGAATAACAAAAATTTTTAAAAGATTCTATCGAAGATTCTTATAGAAAAATTTTTTTTTGTTTATATTTTATATTGAAATTTAATTTCAATTCCAACCAAGTAACGTTTCAATCTTATTCCAATTCGAATCGGTAATGTTGAGAATGATATTGACAAAATGTTAAGATTCTCGAAACGTAAAATAAAAAATATATTGAATATTAAATCAATTATATACTTCATTTGCGTATCTTATCTATATTTTTTTTTTTATTTAATTATAATCCCTCTCATTTTAATAGCGCTGCTATCTCATTCTATTCTGAATTGATAACATCGCATGTGATACGATGATGGTAATGAAATAAAAAAATACACAGAATAATAATTCCATTTCATATCTCGTCAGTTCTGAAAAAAAAAAAAATCGCATTGAAGAGCGAAGCAAGATGATCGAGAGAAAGATCAATCGAGAAAAATAAAAAATGAAATAGGGGAAGTAATAGAGAGAGACAGGACTATGATATGAGAGGTAGGACATGGTAGAGGGCATTAAAGGGTGGAACATCTAGCGTTGGAGGGACAAACGAGTGAGATTTAGTTGGTGGGGAGAATCGGATAGCGAGTGGAAAGTCTGACCCGCTCACAGTCTCGTTGATCCAGCTACGGGTAGTACGTACCGTGACGTGACAATGGCGGTAGTCGTGATTGCGAAACGGTACGTTATTGTGATCAGCTGATCAACTAGACTCGAAGGAAAGGGTTAAATCGAAAAAAAGAATACGTGATAAATCATAAGATAAAGGTTCGAGAGAGAAACGACATATTATAGTTATTCGAGATAATTAAGAAAGAAAAAAAAAGATGATAATTGCATTTTCGGCGATGTCATTGTATTTGTGATTCGCTCTGTCTGTAGGGCACCGGTGCTCTTTTGTGTTGTGTATATAGTGGTTTGCATTTTTGCGGGTGTGTTGTGTGCACGTATGCGTGGAATTCGCGAAAAGCGTTAGATAAATGTGTCTTAACCATGCCTGCTGTGCGGAAGTATAGAAGGGATACCAGTGAAGTGAGCTGCTGTCTCAAGTATGTGATCTTTGGATTTAACGTTATGTTTTGGGTGAGTACAATATATATGCATTTTTATCTATTTTATTTTAGCTTGATGTTGGCAAAATGTATCAGCTTCAAATTTGTTGGATTTTATTATGATTTTATTAAATCATTGGTAGGATAATTGAAATTTATTTAATTTAACAAAGAACAAAAAATAAATTTTTTACATTGTGTTTTGACAAATAAAACTGAAAATGTGATTAATAATTAATGATTAATGATTAACCTACCACTGATGATATATATATTTTATATATATATATACTTAATATTTTATTTATTCTTTTTATTCCTTAATTACATGATAAATAATATCAGTTGTTGAATTAATTTTTTGCTTTTACATTTACATTTATTAATAATTTACAAAAATAATAATAAAAAATTTAAATAAATGCATGCAGTTTCAGGATATACATACATATATGTATGAGAAAATATTTAAATTAAAATACTCGTTCAATTATACATATATAAATGAAAAAAAATTATAAATACTGTATATGCAATGAATTATTCTTATGAATATCGTGAAAAATCTGCAATGCAGTTCATGTACACTCCAGTTGCTCCAATTTCAAAAACAATTCAGGATATCTATTTATAACTTCTATAATTATAATTTTTATGCCATATACATAGTAATATACAGATTGAATATTTATAACTATATATATACATTTTTTAAAACAAATCACATAAATTTTTATATTTCAAGATTAATTGAAATGTAAAAATTAAACAAATTAAATTCCAAATATAATATTTTAAATATAATATAATAATATAATATTTTAAATATAAATTTAAATATTTCAAATATTTTAAATTCCTTAAATATATATTAATTTTCATACTCCTCATGCAGTTTAGCAATATATGGTATTTTAATTATTAGATTAAAGATTAAGTTTAAGAATTAGTTTTTTTAAAGTGTACAAAGATAATTCAACTTTAATGACAAAGAATACAACCATATGTTCGCATAATAGTATAGACAAGAGGATAAAATAAGTTTTATTTTTTTCACTATATTGTGAATTAAGTAGAGTTAAATTGATATTTAAATATCCTAGTGATTTATTGAAAGATTCTCGACGAAGATAGTATATTCACTTTTCATTGGGAAACAGTTGAACGTCCTTCAACTCGGCGAACAGATGTTCGGTAATGAACTGTTTCTCTTTCGTGACTGATTATGCTCATCGAGTTTGTTCACAATGCTATTTTTTTCAAACACTCGTTCGTTAATTGATAATAAGATAATATTTATAAATCTGCAATCTCTTTGTCATATTTTAATTAATATACATATAATAATACATAAAATATACATATAATAATATAAATATTATATGTGCTAGTGAAAATTGTGTATGAACATTTTATATGTACATAATCATAATCGTATCAGAGAATTATATTTATTCATTGCGACATTAATTATCCAAATAAACTGCACTGTGAAAAATTGATACGCTAAAGAGGAAATTTTGGAAAATTTAGTAACAATATTATATCGTAAATTTTTTTTTAAATATTTCATAGAGAAAAAATAGAATATATTTCTAATTTTTGAATGGTAAAAAAAAATTTTAATAAAAATTGTTTAAACATTAAAAATTTGTCGAATAAAATTTAAAAAAAAGTTCCAAATGATTTGAATAATAATTTTGAAAATAAAAATTTTTTTCAAGCTCTCAGAATTCATTAAAATTGACGAATATTTCATTATTAATAAATTATTTGATTTTTATCTTTATGTAAACTTTTGTACATATTTAAAATGATGGACAGATTCAATTAAATTTTTGCTTAGATACAAATTTTTTTAAACTTCCAGAAATTATAAATTTATTATAAAATTTTATTATTAATATATGATCGAACATATAAAGTATTTGATTTTGAATAAATTTTTGCTCATTTTGATTAAGTATTATAATATATACCTTATATTGTTTTTCACGAAAATGTCAATTGTTTCCTGTCTTTATTACTTCCTTTCTGTAACTCCTTATTCTTATTGTCTCCTCGTTGCTAAGACTGTGTTTGAGGAATCTCATTACAAAACTTGCCTGTAAAACCGGTTTCTAACCAGTGCAACCGGCCACTATGGCATGGGTTTGCTTTTCTCGAAGTAAGTGTGACTTCTTCGATTCTCTTGCACGGTAAGTAAACTTTCGACGTTGTAAAAACTTCCATGAATACATAATTACTTCTTAACAATGAAATAAACGTGTCTTTACTTTCTACAATTCGTGATTTATTTAAAAAAATGAAGAAAAAATGAAAAGTTAAATTTTTTTCTATCACGTTCCCTCAGAATCTTTCACGAAAGTTAATAAAGAACAAATAAAATTATCTATTGGAATATGATGGAAGATCTTGATAATAAGGTGCATATTATAATAGGAAAGAAAGTAGAAAAAGAATTCTTTATTCCAAATAAAAGGCCAATTACCATCGATCAATTTAAAAATTTAAAAATTGGAAAAGAAATATCAAAATATTTAAATTAAATTATTATTTAAATTAATATATTTTTAAGATAAAATTTAAATATTTATCTATTTATTAAATCATTTTATTATTTATTATTATAATATTATTTAAATCATTGCAATAATTTTTTTATTTTTAACATGAAAAATATTTTCTGAAAAGAGTATTTTGTGAAGCAATGTAATTTATCCATTTTTATTATAGAAAGTAATAAAAAAACAATGATTTTATATAAAATTTTATATTAAAGCATAAAAATTACCAATATTAAAAATATTAAATTTTTATACTATGAAAAATTAAAAACAGACAAGTGAAATAACAATTTATCATCGAAAATTCATAATGTTTAATAAATGTTTGTTTGATTAAAAAACAAACAAAGACTTTGATTAAAATTCATATATTTTTTTTAATTATTCGTCCAGAGAAAAGAATAATCGATATAAAAGATTAAAAAATATTTAAATTCACATTCATTAAATGAATCATTTATTCTAATTACCTTTATATTTATCACAATTATCTTTTCTCAATTTAATGAACTTATCTATAAATTAATAATATAAATATTAAATTTTGACTCTAAATTCTCTAATTTTGGATAATCAAATTTATCAGAAATGTTAAATAAAAATCAAGAGATTAAGGAATCTATATAAGATGTCTGAGTTCAAAAGTCTAAATCTCCTTACCAAATCTTGTCTGACTACTTGTATTTACAAGTAGAATGACTTTATGGTTCATCGATGCTAAACAATTTTTCTTATATGCTTCATATCATTCATCGTTCTAATTGAATACATAGCAAACATCCATAAGAATAAGCAATTCCATTTAGAATCCATTATATATCTTGTTAAGACTTAGACAATTATCTGTAATCGAGAATTCAGAAACAGAAAAGTATAAAGCTATTATTTATAAGTTCATTACGCCCCTTAACTTTCTATGGACTCCTTCTATTGGTTCTTGTTGAGTTTCTTATATTATCTTTTTAAATCCCTTTGAAAGAATGTTCTTATTTTTCCTGATAAACCATTTAAACGTTCAAGTTGACGACTATATAAGGAAGAAGGAATTTTCAAGAGTCTAAAACAATGAATTTAGACCATTTATTGTCTGAACCAAAATTTTATTTTTGAAGGAAGGAATTTTTATTTTTTTCTGATAAATCTTTTAGACATTCGATTTTGATAAATAAATAAAGATTTCAATAAGCAATACAGAATTTTTTCAGATTTTTTGAGAGCCTAAAACAATGAAAAAAATAATCATACACTATTCAGATTGAAATAAATTTTAATATATTTGTTCACAAAGGAAGGAAAGAAATTAAAAATAAGAAATATTGGATGAAAGTATTAGCTAAAAATAAAGTGAGTTTCTCTATCTGTTCAGTGATTGCAATACTATAAAATGCAAGAAACATGTTAATATATGTTTATAAGAAATTTCGATTAAAAAAATCAATCTTCTAAATTGAAAATAATATCCAAAGCATTATAACGAACCGTGTCGTCGATTCGCTTTCTAATCATTACGTAACGAGTATTACAGCTGTTGTAACAATATTATAGTTATTTAGTACTTGGATCATAAAAAAAACAGTTAATTAATTTATTGTGTTTAACATCAATTTTATTAATTATTAATTATAAAATAATTGACATTTAATTATCGTTTTCTTTATAGAAAAAAGTATAAATAATATTTGTATTCAATAGCTATAAAAAAATAGATAAAAATAAAATAATCAATGAAGAGAAATCAATGAATGTTCTTAAAATATAAATTAATTTTATATCTTATTTATATTTACTTTCATGAAATTTCAAAGCTTACTTAATGGTTCAACAATTCATTTTTTGTACAATATAATTTGTTCAAAAATATTTGCATATAATCTCTTAAATAATAATGTATCGTAAAATTGCATACTTACTAATAATAAATTGGCAGTCATCGATCGAATTAAATTATGACAATTTATTAATTTATACATAAATTACATTTACGATATAAAATTTTTGTTTTTAATAAAATTTCATTCATCGTTGCATTTAAAACTTACATAAATTGGATAGATAAAATTCAATTTCCTTTAAAGTAACAAATTCAAGGAAGAAAAAAAATAGTTAGGCTTAGCAAACAATAGAATCATAGGAAAGGAAATTAATCGCTATGATTTCCAATTATAAAGATATATCGTAACAATTACTGAGTCGTATAATACGAGAGACAATTTCAAATTGTTTCATCAGAACAAATCTTTATCGATTCTAATTTTTCCATTTGTTTCGATTCGAAACAGCATGCAGGTTCTTATGCACAAAACGGGTTCGACGACCTTTTGTCATGAGTCACACGGACGAATAAGTACAGCATGCGTGCGTGAAACCCTATCTTCCGGCCACCGGAAAATGTTATGAACAACGTTATTACTGTATCCTCTCTGCCTACTACATTTTAAATGCATTTCCGACCAAGTGAACCTTT